CTCACTGTCCACTCTGCCTGTCAAAAAAAATAAAAATTAAAAAAAACAAAAACAAAAACAAAAACAAGGAGCTTGCTTAGCCGAGATGAGTGACACAGGTTCCTATCTCGAGTGCAAGAATTCGGACGTGAGACCAGAGTGGTAAGCCAGGTAGCAAGGTTTAATGGGGAAAGTCTGTGGAAGTTTTACAGCCCAGTGTTATCAGGCTGAGCAACCCCTCTGGCACCAGGCAGAAGCAATCTTCCTGGGGGGAGGCTGGGACCACCTACAGAACAACCTCCTAACCTCAGCCAGCAACCCCTTCTCCTAGGACCTGCCCAGCAACAGGTCTGGGCACCCACTCCTCTACCCCTCCCCACCTAAGATTGTACCTCCCAGCTTTCTCATCCAATGAGGAACAGGGGAAGGGGCTTTTGTGTGGCAGGAATAAACAGCACTAAATGCCTGAGCATTCTGGCTGCTTCCGCCAGCTGCTCACCAGACCTACGGAGGGGTGCATAAAGCCTTGCTTTCCGCTTCCTTCAAGTTAGTGAGTCACCCTTTGGTGGCAGGTGGTCTCAGGTGGGCTTATTTCCCACCCTCTACCAGGTCTACATGGCTTTCCAACCCTGTACTGTTTTTTGTTGTTGCTGTTAAGATTTATTAATATGAATGGCATAGTTACAGAGAGAAAGAAGGAGAGAGGGAGAGAGGGAAAGAGGGAGAGAGGGAGAAAGGGAGAGAAGGAGAGAGAGATCTTCCATCTGCTGGTTCGCTTCCCAAATGGCCACAAGGGCCAGGGTTGGGTCAGGCCTAAGTCAGTAGTCAGGAGCTTTTTCCGGGTCTCCCACATGGGTTCAGGGGCCCAAGGACAAGGGCCATCTTCCGCTGCTTTCCCAGGCGCATTAGCAGGGAGCTAGATCAGAAATAGAGGAGCGGGACTCGAACTGGTGCCCATATAGGATATCTGTGCCCATATAGGATGCCAGTGCCACAGGCCATGGCTTTAACCCATTATGTCACAGCACTGGCCCCCTGTACTGTTTTGTACTGAGTCCAACACACAGCATGTTTGCCATCACCACTGCTTTTAGATGCACCGGCACAGGCTGACGCTAGACATGCTGCTGTCTAGGTAAGCAGTCCAAAGAAGCGCTGGCGCCTGTGCAGGTGAGTGGAGCTGGGAGCGAGGAGGGTCTCTAGCCACCGGCTCCTCCACTGGCCCAGGATCTGGTCCCCCAGAGGAGGCCCACCACCAAAGCCACCGAGAGCCATGGGGGAAGGCTTCAGAGCATGCGTGGAATGACATCAAGACTTTGCAAGCTTTATTCTCAGTGTTCACGTCTTCTAAACTCCGATGCAGGGCCGAGGCTGGTAAACGTTGACCACCAGCTGAGCCCTGCGTGTTGCCTGTGTTGATGCAGAGAGTTTACTGGGACACAGTTAATGCCCGTTTGTTTTGCTACCGCCAATGGCTGCCTTCGCATTACGATGGCAGCACCCAGCGGCTGTGATCGAGACACGGGACTCGCAAAACCCAAAATATTTCCTCTGCGGTCCTTCGCTGAAGGCCTCTGCTCCCTGTACAGGAGCAAAGCCAGACAATCTGCCCTGCAGTCACTGGAAGTAAGCTGAGGCACACGTGCCCTGGGCTAAGAGGCCTCATAAGGGACCCCAGGAACCCAGCTGCACCTGGGCGATGAAAGAGTCCAAGGCAGCACCTGACCCTAATCCCAAGAAACTAGGAAAAGCAAAGCAAATGATACGCAGAGCAAGCAGGAGGCAGGAAACTAAGCTGAGGGCAGAAATAAATGGATCAGAGATCAGAGAAAACACAGAGAAAAAGTAAAAACCCCAAAATTGGTTCTTTGTAGAGAAGCCTTTCTCTAGAGTGATCAAGAAAAATAAAAAAGAGAGAAAATTCCAATTACGGAAATCAGGAATGAAAAGGCCAACCTCACTACTGAAATTCCAGAAAGGATTTTAAAGGAATCAAAAAACAATCATCATGGCAATATATTAGATAGCCTCGATGAAACGGACAAATTCCTAGACAAACAACCAACCAAAAAGGAACAGAAAATCAGACCATGCCTATTTAAATAAAGCAACTGAATTAGTAATCAAAAGACTGCCCACAAAGAACAGCCCAGATGGTTTCATCACTATTGGTACCTCCCGCTTAAAGAAGAGTTAACACCAGTGCTTCACAAACTCTTTCAAAGCAGGGATGAGGAAAGAACACCTGGCAGCTCACTGTGAGCCAGTGCTACCCCGACACCAAAAACAGACAGTGACATCACAAGAAGACGCCTGACCATGTCTCTCAAGAACATAAACACACAAATCCTTAACGAAACACAGGCATGCCGAATGCAGCAGCATAGGGAAGATCATGTCATAACTACACACTGACCAGAGACCCGTGGCCCTGGCCAGCTTCAGACACAGCAGAACACCCAAGTCATTGATCAGAGGACATTCTCATCTCTGACCCAGGCCCATGTGCAAAGGAAGCAAAGCAGCAGGCAAGCCAACACACTGATTTCTTTGGCTGTGGCTGCCCGTGCTTGGAAGGCCACTTATAGAGGTCAGTGCTGTGACGTAGTAGGTTAAGCCTCCATCTGTGGTCCTGGCATCCCATATGGGTGCTGCTTCTAGTCCTGGCTATTCCACTTCCCATCCAGCTTCCTGCTGGTGGCCTGGGAAAACAGTGGAAGATGGCCCAAGTGCTTGGGCCCCTGCAGCCACATTGGAGACCTGGAATAAGCTCTTGGCTCCTGGCTTCAGATCAGCTCAGCTCCAGCCACCGGGGCCATTTGGGGAGTAAACTAGCAGATGGAAGATTTCTCAGTCTCTCTCTCTCTGTATGTAACTCTGCCTCTCAAATAAATAAATAAATCTTTAAAAGAAAAAAAGAAATCCACCTATGTGAGGGTCTGCATTGTGGTTGCAGCAGGTAAAGCTGCCTCTTACAATGCTAGCATTCCATATAGGTGCAGCTACTCCACTCTTAATCCAGCTCAGAGTCTCTGTTAATGTGCCTGAGAAAGCAGCAGAAGTGGCTCAAATGTTTGGGCCTCTGCACCTACATGGGAGACCTGGAAGAAACTTCAGCCTGGCCCAGCTCTGGTCACTGTGGCTATCAGGGGAGGGAACCAGCAGATGGAAGATCAATCTCCATCTCTCCCTCTCTCTCTGTAACTCTTTCAAATAAATGAATACATCTTTCAAAACATAAAAGCAAGCCACTTATTTGGGAACATCTTCCTTCCCAAATTAGAGATCCCGCACCCTCTCTTTGCCCATGGCAAGAGGTAGTCAGCGTGAGACCTGTCTGTGATAACTGCTCCTACAGGGGGCCTGCTGTCTGCCCAGAAAGTGGGATGCAAGGGCTGTCCTTGTGACACCTTGCAGCCTGTCTGGCTGTAAAATGCAGAGAAGGAAGAAACTGAATACAAATACGCTTAATAAGAGGTACCCTCACCACTCACCACGCACCTCTCACAATAGCCAGCACATCCCTATCCAAGGCGCCTGCAGCCAGACCTGTTTCAGATTTTTTTTTTCTAATTTTGGAACATTTGCACAGGCTTTACTGGTTGAAGCCTCCTAATCGGAAAAACTGAAATGCTCCAAAATGCAAAACTTTCTAAAGTTGAACAACACTAAGTTTCACGTTTGGGATTTTCAGTTTGGGATGTTCAACCTGTATTATACTTAGAGATTGTTCTCCAGGAAAGACAAGTGCCTTCTAAGAGTACAGTGAGGCCAGCATTGTGGTACAGCAGGTTAAGCCTCCACCTGAATGCCAGCATCCCACATGGGCACCGGCTTGAGCGCTGGCTGCTCTGGTTCTGATCCAGCTCCCTGCTAATGTGCCTGGGAAGGCAGTAGATGATGGCCCAAGTATCTGTGCCCCTGTATGTGACCCACATGGAAGACTTGGGTGGAGCTCCTGGCTTCAGCCTGGCCCAGCTCCAGCTATTGAGGAGTGAACAGCAGATAGAAGATCAATCCCTGTCTCTCCCTCTCCCTTCTGCTTTTCAAATAAATAAAAACAAATCTTTAAAAAAAAAAGTGACAGGCCGGCGCTGCGGCTCACTAGGCTAATCCTCCGCCTTGCAGCGCTGGCACACCGGATTCTTTCCCGGTTGCCCCTCTTCCAGGCCAGCTCTCTGCTGTGGCCCGGGAGTGCAGTGGAGGATGGCCCAAGTGCTTGGGCCCTGCACCCCATGGGAGACCAGGAGAAGCACCTGGCTCCTGCCTTCGGATCAGCGCGGTGCACCGGCTGCAGCATGCCAGCCGTGGCAGCCATTGGAGGGTGAACCAACGGCAAAAAGGAAGACCTTTCTCTCTGTCTCTCTCTTTCACTGTCCACTCTGCCTGTCAAAAAAAAAAAAAAAAAGATTAAAAAAAAAAGTGACAACCCACCTGCCTTCCATACACGTCCTAGACATGCACATTTATGTGCCTGCATGTGCATGCATGCACACACACACACACTTTGTGCTGTTAGAGACCACTCAGAGGTATGAATGCTGAAACACCCTGCCCTGATGCCTAAAAATAACCCACCCTGGTAGCTCTTCCAAATTACAATTCTCAGCTGTAAGCTGTGTCTTTAACCACGCACCACCCTCTGTGCTATCACAAAGCCCTTTCAATCCTAGAAGTGCTCACAGCAAACTGCTTCTTAGTGTCTACACTCGCTTTTCTCTGTACCAAGTCACAATCGTCTCCGCTAAACCAGCCTCGAACCTCCTCCCTCCTTGGCGGCCTCGTGAGCACCATCTGCCAGCCCCGTGACGCTGCCCCTTGTTAGCTGTCCCCTTCCGGGCCCCAGCGTCCACCCCAGGGGCTGTCAGCCCACGCTACCATAGGCACATGGGAGCTCCGGGGCCTGCAAAATGGCACCGACGTCCCAGCTCTTGCCAGGCAACAGGTCAACCGCAGAAGCGCGGGAGAAGGCGTGGGCGGAAGGCAAGCCAGACAGCATGGCCTGGGTGCGGTGGTCTCACCTGTCCAAACACATAGAGCAGCCCGATGGTGCCGCCGGCCTGCCCGCCGAGGACTGAGGAGATCATGGAGTAGACGCCCCCGCTGCCCACGCCGCTGTGCACGCCCACGCCGATGCCGGACAGCACGGTGACCAGGGCCACAAGGATGACGCAGGACACCAGGAACACGCCCAGCAGCACGCCTGTGTTCCCCTGCAGCGGGAGGAGTGAGGTCAGGTTAGGAGAGGAGGCCCCCGGACACTGCGCCTTCACCCCAGGACCCAGGGTGCCGGGATCGAGGAACGGCGCGCACCCCACTATGTTTGAGTGACTTCCGGGTGCCTGCAGGGTGAGGGCCAAGCTAAAACACGCAAGCGCACAGGGCACCGCCCATCTACCACCGCCCGGCCTAGCACTCGAAGTGCCTCCCGGCTCATTCCACGCCTTAGCCAGGCTAACTCCTACGGGCTCTGTAAAGCCCAGCTCCCCCAGGAGCTGTCCCTGCAACCCTCCCTCCACGCCTCCAGTACCCAGGGCTTAGTACTTAGCGCAGTACTGGTTGCACTGAGCCTACATCCAAGTGGGTGTCTACCTCTAGGCTGTGAGCTGCCCCCAGGGCAGGGTTCCAAAACCCTTCCTACCGCCAGCGCCTACACAACCACCACATACCAGTTGCTCATTAAATGCTTGCTGAGTGAATAAAGGAGTACACATTAGACAGACACTTCACGTGAAAAGCCAGATTCCCGGGGAAGAAGTGAGCCCTGCACAGCACCCCTGAGGAGGAGATGCAAGGCTGCCTGACTGCAGAGCAGGGGCCACCGTGGTGCTCTGGGTGCAGCAGAGAGATGGGGAGAGGCAGAGCCAGCTCCGGGCTGGGTGGCCTTACAACATGCTGGAGAAATGTCCCAGCGTCCAGGGCACTCCACACCCATACTCAGGAGATGACTTCGGGGGCTCCACTGCTGGTCTGGCCAGCTCTGTCTGGTCTTCTCTCTCTCATACACACACTCAGGATTCTTGCCACCCCACGTCTCTTCATGCCTGCTAGTTCCTGCTCACTCTTCTGACTGGGAACTCTCAAAGGACAAGTTCTAGGCTTCCTTCCCCTGCATAATCCCCTTCCTCCATAGCCTTCCCGCACAGTGAGCCCAGGAGAAGAAAGGCCCTCTGCTCCCCCGCAGAGGCCCCTGGGGGAGAGCGCTGGGGGCTACGCTGTTGGGTTCGCTCCAGATGCACCTGCAGTGAGACCGGGCGGGTTGGAGGAGCTGGAGCTCAGGCTGCACCAGCAGGGCCTGGAGGAATCCCTGCCTGAGCTGCGGTTTCTCCCCGTGAACACTTGTGCTTTCTCCCTCCTGGGGAGTTTTTCACTTTAAAAATATTTTATTTATTTATTTTCATTTATTTGGAAGGCCGAGAGAGAATCTTCCATCTGCTGGTTCACTCCCCACATGCCGGGACCAAACCTTGGAGGCAGGAACTGCTGAATCCAGGTCTCCCACGTGGGTGGCAGTGACCCAACTAGCTGTGTCCATCACTGCTGCCTCCCAGGGAGTGCATTAGCAGGAAACTGGAATCAGAACCTGAGCTGGGACTCGAACCCAGGTACCTGGATATGGGTTGCAGGCAACCCAAGTGGCCTCTTAACCACCTATCTCTTTCCACTAATTTTTTTAACTTGAAGTACTCCGGGTGCGTATTTTTGTTAACTACCTCAGAGTCCTTGGGGCATAAAACAGAAGTACAATATAAACCTTCGAGAGGTTAAGGGCTGCGGCAGGGTGCAGTGACATGGAGTGCTCACTACTCCTAAATGAGTCACTGACCAAGGGGAGGACCCTAGTGTCGAGAAGAGGACCGAGCAGGGCAGCCTCCACAGGGACACTGATGTCCAGAAAGGGCCGTGCATCCACAGAGAAGCAGTTCTGACTCAAACTGCATGTGGGTTGCCAGCAAAGACCGTGCGCTCACCCATACCTGTGGCTGCAGGGACCTAACTTCCCTGTGCTGCTTCCTCTTCTGCAAGATATGATGATGATCTTGATTTTACACATGGTCAGGAGACAATCAACTCTGGGAGCACTGAGTATGTGCCAAGCACTTTGAATGCCATCTGTCAGAGAGGTGCCTGATAGATCTGACTATTCATATTTTTTTTTTTTTTTGACAGGCAGAGTGGACAGTGAGAGAGAGAGACAGAGAGAAAGGTCTTCCTTTTGCCGTTGGTTCACCCTCCAATGGCCGCCGCGGCCGGCGCGCTGCGGCCGGCGCACCGCGCTGATCCGATGGCAGGAGCCAGGAGCCAGGTGCTTTTCCTGGTCTCCCATGGGGTGCAGGGCCCAAGCACCTGGGCCATCCTCCACTGCACTCCCTGGCCACAGCAGAGGGCTGGCCTGGAAGAGGGGCAACCGGGACAGAATCCGGCGCCCCGACCAGGACTAGAACCCGGTGTGCCGGCGCCGCTAGGCGGAGGATTAGCCTAGTGAGCCGCGGCGCCGGCCTGACTATTCATATTAATTATTATTACGCACCTTGTAAATCTCTTAAGTTCCTCCTCAATGGCTACCTTGGACAATAGGGATATCTGAGGGCTCTCTCTAGAAGAAGCCTCCATCAGGAAATGGGTGCAAAACCCCACCCACTGCCAGATGGCTCACAAAGCTGGTGAAATTTCTAGGGGTGTGGCCACAAATGAATCAATGTGAGACTGCTGATTTTGCTGAGCTTACATTTTTAATGACATTGCCTATTACTGTTTCTTTGTTCACACTTTTAAGTTGTCTGCATGTGATAATAAACCGTCCTGTACCCATACCAGTGATCATACCAGATGTCCCACCTTGCGGTTTTCCAGATTCTAAGTATGCTACCCAAGTTATTCTTCCGAATTAACATTCTCTGTTTCACATCATTTTGGCATGACCTCGACTTACTTTAATTCTATGCCATTCCCTAGAAGCTCTGCTCTATTTTTGGCATTCACATTTGCCTGTATTTTCATGATCAAATCTGATTCTTTAGGTGAAACTAATGTCAGAGCTGAAGACTAAGTCATTTCAGGGCAAGAGGATGGATGAGGCTCCTTCAGAAAATATGCATTTTCCATGTCCTTTGTGAAGTGGCCTTGTATTTGTAGGGTGGACAGCCCTGAAGGTGGCCCCAGAGGTCCTGGCTTCTTGGCATTCATGCCCTTGTGTAACCCCCTAGCCTTGAGTGTGGACTGGATCTAGTAACTCACTTTTTTGGTTGAGGATCAAAGTATTTTATTAGTCATTCAAAATGATCACATTCATTGTAATTCATTTAATAGTTTTTTAAGTGCAAAATTAGACATGCTTATCCCTTCTATTTGGGCTACTTGTTTTATCCATGGAGTGACTTGCTTTTAATGAACATAATACTGCAAAGGTTATGGGGATGTCACTTCTGAGATTTGGATATAAAAAGACTGGCTTGGGTGGGTGTCGTGGTGCAGTGGGTTAAGCCGCCACTTGGGATGCCCACACCCCATACAGGAGTGCCTGAGATCAAGTCCAGCCTCACCTTTGATCCAGCTTCCTGCTAATGTGCACCCTTGGAGGCAGCAGGTGATGGCTTAAGCACCTGGGTCCCTGCCACTCACACAGCAGACCTGGACAGAGTTCTGGGCGCCTGGCTTCTGGCCCAGCCCTAGCTGTTGTGGGCATTTGGGAGAAGGAACCAGAGGACAGACGTTCTCTCTTTCTATCTCTCCCTGTTGCTCTGCCTTTCAAATAAATAAAATAAACCTATAATGGGGCTGGCACTGTAGTGTAATGGATTAAGCTTCCACCTGTAGCACTGGCATCCCATATGGGCACTGGTTTGTGTCCCAGCTGCTCCACTTCCAACCATGCTCTCTGCTAAGGCCTGGGAAAGCAGTGGACGATGGTCCATGTGCTTGGGCCCCTGAACCCACATGAGAGACCCAGAAGAAGCTCCTGGCTCCTGGCTTCGGATGGGCTCAGCTCCGGCTGTTGCGGCCATTTGGGGAGTGAACCAACGTAAGGAAGACCTCTCTCTCTGTCTCCCCCTCTCACTGTCTATAACTCCACATTTCAAATAAATAAAATCTTTTTTAAAAAGTATTGATTTTAATCAAAAAGTGATAGTTGTATAAGCTTATCAGGTGCAACATGATGTTTTTCAAGTGCTGATGAAAATAGATCCTCTCTCCAGCTGAGCCTTAGATGAGATGGAAGCCCCAGCTGAGAGCATGACCCAGTGGTACCTGGCTGTTACACCTGGATCTCTGAACCCCAGTCACTGTAAGGTAATACATATTTGTTGCTTTAAGCTGCTACGTGCTGAGACCATCAATAAATAACTAATAAATAGCAATGCAATAAATAACTAATGCAACTGGAACTTTCATTCTGCAGATGCAGCTGATACCAATAGCCATGTCTCAAAAACAAAAACAAAATGTCAAGATAAAAAAATAAACAAACAAAAACAGCAACCTCAGTGCTGGGACTGCCGGGTTACAAGTCCAAACAGCGGGAGTTTACCCTTGTACCCTTCCACAACCAGCCCTGCATGGGTCAGAGCCCAGGAAGCCCCCACTCGCACTGACCAGGGGCCTCCCCTGCCATGTGGTCAAGTTCAGGGGCTGCCCTTGGAAATGGGCCAGAGAAACAGGGGTGGGTTCCAGGAGCCCAGGGCTGCTGCCATGATAAGGAGCCTGAGCCAAAGGCATTGTGTTTGTCTAAGTGGGAGCCCCTGCCAGTCTGGGAGTTTGTGAGAGGTGGAAGTTCTTAATGTCCACCCCAGAGAGGTCACTGACCCCCATGTAAGCTTCCTATGCCTTCATACAAAGAACCTTCCAGACCTGACTAAGGCTGAACCCTGAGCTAAGGAGGAGCAGAGTGCAGAGAAGAATGAGAGCTCGGGACAGTCTCGCCTCACTCAGGACTCTGCGGGGGACCCTGAGGGACCAGGAACTCTGTGCCTCCCACTTAAGCAGAACGCTAAGCCCCGAGAAGTGGCCATGTGCCAGATGTGTCAACCCGGCTCCACAGTGGGACCCAGGTGCTGCCTGTTGCTGTTGAGGGTTAACACCTGCCATCAGCGAGCGTCCTATGAAGACGGGGACCCTCCCCAGTGTGGGCCTCCTCCCATCAACTGAAGGCCTCCAGAGCACGGGCTGGGGTTCCACGGGGGCGGAATTCTGCCCCCAGGCTGCAGCACGAACACCCTTCCCAAGTCTCTAGCCTCTGATACAGATGAGGGTGCCTCTTGCAGGGCAGACCTGCTGCTGTAAACTTCACCCCTGGATACCCCCTTCTGCATTAATTCTACTTCTCTGAGGGCCCTACCTAATACCATCTACACCCTAAGTGGTCCCCCCTCTTTGACCTGTCTAGTCCAGCTGACCCTTCAAGATCTGATTCATCCACACCTCCTCCAGGAAGCTTTCCTGGACACCTCAGTGTCCACAGCACTCAAAGCCAATCCCATCCCCAAGAGACCTAATGCTGCCTTGAGACCTCTCCTGATGTGAGCTCCGCCCACCATGGCTGATAGCTCACCTAGGGGAGAGACAATAACCAGGAGTTCCAGGGTCAAGGAGGCCCATGGAGCCCAGGCCAGCTCCAACGGTGCAGTGCCACAGGGTGTTGGGGCCTGCAGTACCCAAACAGCCCTGGGCAAGTGGCCAGCCAGAGGCCACCCTCCCACCCACGTCCAGTGGTAGGTGAGCCCCGGCTGCTCGCAGGGTCTTGTTTATGTGATCCCATGAGCACTCAGTGGTGCCTGGGCCACAACAGGTGCTCATCAGTGTTTGCTTCTTGACTGTTTGCCTTTTGTGCTCAGCAGCCTGGCTGCTCACGGGAAGAACTCACCTGCTACACAGATTTATTGAATTTCAAGTCCCACCTGTGGTTGCCTTGGCAGGACAGCACCAAACAATTTTGTGGGCCTCACCCGGCCCGTGGGCCGGACGTTCTCCACCCCTGCTCCAGAGGAAGCCAAACTGATCTCCCACTTTCCTGGGGGGGGGGGTTCTGTCCAGCACCCTGTGCCCAGTCTCACACCCAGGGTCGGGGTGCAGGGAGGAAGGCAGCACATGGAGAGAAGCTGAGCCGTGCAGAGGGCACAGGTAAGGGGAGGAACATGGGGAAGCCAGAGAGGGCCACAAACCAGAGCAGAGCTGCCAACAACCTGGTCCCACGGAGCCTCTCTAGGCCCACCTGTGAGGGGTCCCGATCTCAGAGCACAAACTCCTGCAGTTAGACCCATGGCAAGGCTCCCTCGGGACCCCTGGGCCAGCTCTGCAGGACTCTCATTGAAAAGCACGGCCAGAGACCGCCCTGTGCTTGCTCTTGCTGCGCGTGCGCCCCAGGGGTCTGGTCTGCACCATGGAGTGTGAGGGGCACATCACTCACCACCAGCCAGCCAGTCCTCAAGAAAAGGACGACCCCAAAGATGTTGATCATGCAGGACGTGAACACGCCGTCCCAGGTTCCAAACAGCACCGGCTCCCACACGGACAGCTGGGCCTTCCACCAAGGCCGGCGCTGGGCCAAGGGCCCCTGCAAACAGAACACACAGGGCCAGCTGAGTGGCGTCAGGAGGCCCGGGAGGGAGTAGAAGTGGAAGAACAGGCGAAGGCAGGAGAACTCAGCTTACAAAACCCCCAGCTTTGTGTGAGGGCACCACACACACACACACACACACACACAGACTACTTCAGGATCATGTGGTGTGATCCCTGCAACGCAGCATGGTCCCCAAACCCAGTCCTCGGCCTTCTGCTCTCTCAGCTGGATTGCACTGCTGGCCTCCCTGCAGCCAAGCGTGGTCTGTGGCTGAGTCGCAGCCAGCGTAATGTAGGCGGAGGCACTCGGTGGCACTCCTCAGTGGTGTGGGGCCATCAGGAGCTCTGCCCCGCAGCCAGGTTCCCCTGCAGACCTGCAGGTCCCGGGATGCAGCAGCTCCCGGAAGCTCCCCATCTTCAGATAAGCTCTCCCAGCCCTTCTCACACCTGCGTCATTAACCTTGTGTAGTAAATTCCCCCTGCTCGAGCTCCTGGAGCGCTGGTTCTCCTGCCGGAGCCCCGCCCCCTCCTGTGCCCTTGGATCCCAGCGTATCAGTATTTGGCAGTTGTTTAGACTCAGAGGCGAAGGGATTACAGACTCCTTGCTCACTTTTCCAACTCGAAAATAGCAAAGGCACTAAGCACCCAAACAGAAACCCAATTCTAAAATGACCTGAAAATAGGTAGCAACTCCTGCTGTGAAGTGCCCTTGCATAGGTTCAGTGTTTAATCTAAGGTCGGGCCTCAGCAGCCTTCCGCTGCCCTCACCCTGCGACAGACAGCGCTGTGAAGGGCTCCCAGTGGGGTGGGTGTCTATAAACTGGCGAGGTCCCCAGCTACCTGTGAACAGCGGGAAGGCAGACCAAGCGAGAGCGCAGCAAATCATCTAAGAGCCCGAGTCACAGAGCCCCAAGCTGATCACAGTGCACACTCCGGGACGAAGACTGAGGCCCACTGCGCCTGCTCTTGTACCTCCCACCTGGGAGCGGGACAGGGCCTTACAGCAGAACAGCCACAGGGGCTGGGCAGCGGAGGGAGCAGGGGCCAGGCAGCAGGCACACAACACGCCAGGGCAGGAGGAGAACGATCTCATGTTCCATCTACCACACAGTAGGGTGATTATGTATTAGGTTATTATATATTTATTATGCATTGCAAAGTGTCCTAACACTAAGAAATGAGGAATATTTGAGGAGATGGAAACGTTAATCATCCTGGCTTGATCATTATACTTTGTGCACATGCAGCAACTTATCACACTGTACTCACAAATACGTGGTTATGTGGCAATTAAAAGTTTTTAAAAAGTTTAAAGATACATCTAAAAAAGAGTGAAGGAAGGAAGAGCAAGTTTCAAGGAATAATCAGGGGGGTGGGAAAAGCGTTTAAAGCAGTAGTTAAGACACTGCGTGGGACACCCACTACCCATACAGGAGTACCTGGATTCAAGTCCTAGCTCCACTCTGGATCCAGCTTCCTGCTAGTGCAGGCCCTGGGAGGCAGCAGCTCAAATGGTTGGGATCCTCCCACCCACATGGGAGATACCTGTTAAGCCCAGCTCCAGACATTTGGGGAGTGAACCAGTGGGTGGGAGTCCCCCCCAACAACATCTTAAAAGAATCAAGGACCTCAACAGATGAGCAGGGGACCCCTCGGGGTCTCTCCCAGCCCCGCCTGTGGAGCTCTCAGCTGCGCTGGGACTTCTTCTATCCATGTCTATTACTGGTTTGTGTCTTTCCCAAACCACAGATGAGGACCCCCCCGGCCGTCGGTCCCTGTGAGCAGTCTTCGGGGCTCGGTGAGAAGCCCCCCTTTGCCAGCCTCTGCTCATCCGTGAACACGTGAGACTAGGGGGACCCCAAGATATGCAGAGTGTCTGCCAGGGTCCTAGTCTCAAAATTCAGTTGCTTGGGGCCAGCGCCGTGGTGTAGCGGGTAAAGCTGCTGCCTGCAGCCCCAGCACCCCATATGGGTGCCAGTTCGAGTCTTGGCTGCTCCACTTCTGATCCAGCTCTCTGCTGTGGCCTGGGAAAGCAGTGGAGGATGGCCCAAGTCCTTGGGTCCCTGCACCTGTGTGAGAGACCTGGAAGAAGCTCCTGGCTCCTGCTTTCACCCTGGCCCAGCCAGGGTTGTGACCATTTGGGAAGTGAACCAGCAGATGGAAGATCTGTCTGTCTCTGACTTTCAAAAAAAAATAATAATAATATTAAAAGTTCAGCTTCCTGTCGTGGCTGCTTCCTGGTGTGTTCTTCACGAGGAAGAGGAAGACAGGGGCTGCCCGCAGCAGGAAGCCTGCCGGAGCCTGCCCCAGCCCTGGGCAGCAGGACGGGGGGCCCCCGTGTGGAGCTGAGGCAGCAGCAGCTGGGGGTCCCTCCGCCGCCCCCCCCAGCATCCAGGCTGCAAAATCAGTCCTTTGCCTGCACCCCCTCACCCCAAACTCACTTGCCCTTTTCTCCCCTAAATTGAAGTCTTGTGGCTTCAAACCTGACATTCTGGACCTGGCCCAACTGAGTCTGCCCACCTTAACCATGCTGCAGATGGGAGCGTCACCTGCTGTGCCACGGTGCTGGCCCAAGGAACTGAATTTTGAGACTAGGACCCTGGCACACACTCTACATATCTTGGGGTCCCCCCTTTGCTCTTGGGGGGCTGTCTTGTTCACTGTGGCTCCTGGCAAGCCCGCACTCCCTCCCCACCCTCTCCCCGGACTAGTGCATCAGCGTCGGGAACAGCATGGAGAAGCAGAAACCTGAGGCAGCCCTGTCCTGAGGGTGGCAGCAGAACAGGGAGGACGTGGGTTCGGTGGCTTCTTCCAGGATGGTGGGCTGGGGTGTGTGTGTGTGATACAGGAAATCACCTCGTCTTCCCACGCCTACGTCAGAGACTGCGCAGGAAGAGCCTGGGTCTGACCCCAGGGGAAAGGTCACAGAAGCCCCCAGAGGCGAAGAAAAGTGCGTGCTGAGATGTTGACCCCCAGAATGAGAGGCCAAGCAGGCCACAGACACAGCGCCCCCGAGCCTTCCGGAATCGAGCCTCTGCCTGCTAGGCAGCCACACGGAGCCGCAGGTGGCTGTCCCTGGCCCCCTCGTTCAGCCCCCGTCTGGCCTCACCACTTCTGCGGAGCCCTTCGTGCTTGGGCTCCTGCCTCCTGCCAGTAAGGAGAGTGCTGGTGGGACAGCACCAATCAGGCCCGGGCACAGCCACTACCTGCAGGACGCTGGCCACCCCACACCCAGCTCCTGCTCAGGGAGGCTGGGGGCAGGGCCTGATAAGAGGGCAACAAGTCAGCTCACTGCCCCCCACACACTGTGTAAATGCCTTTCCTGGGCCCTCTTCTTTGATGGGAAGGCGAAGAATCTCCCTCATCTCAAATTTGCTCTCCCACAAAGCCCCGGTGACACGGGCCATTACACACTCATTTCTCTTGCCTAGGGGAGCAGAGTAGAGCAGCGGCCAAGGCCGGATGTTGGTGGACAGTTCTGGGCACTCTTGTTAAGCCCCGGGGGAGGTTGGTAGCCTCTTTAAACCTCCTTGTCCTCAGATTTGGGCCCTGATGAACAATTTCAAACTAACAAGAATCCTACTCAATGTTCTGTACAAAGATGCCTCAGGCTAGGGGCAAAGGAGGTAACAGTGGGGTGGGGGTGAGGCCAAGGCCAGGGGCTCCTGCACAGCAGAGATAGAGGCTGAGGAAGATTTAAAAAAAAAAAAAAAAAAAAAAAAAAAACAGTGAGAAGCAAATCAGCCTCTGAGAAAGAACATCAAAAACCCACCCCAAGCTAAAGTCCCTACCTCCCCAGAGCAACGGAGGGACTCGGGGCCTAGCCAGGCTGCTCACATCCTCAGGCTGCTCACTGCCAGTGTGGGACAGGAAGCCAGGCCCTTGTTCCTCTGTGCCCAGGGGCCTGCACCCTGCACTGGGAAAACCAGGCCTGCCCGGTGTGTTTCCCTCAGAGGCAGCAGTTCTCAATGAGAGCAGGGAATCTAGAAAGACAGGGAAGGCCGGCGCCGTGGCTCACTAGGCTAATCCTCCGCCTTGCGGTGCTGGCACACCGGGTTCTAGTCCCGGCGGCCATTGGAGGGTGAACCAACTGCAAAGGAAGACCTTTCTCTCTGTCTCTCTCTCTCACTGTCCACTCTGCCTGTCAAAAAAAAAAAAAAAAAGACAGGGAAGTCACACCTGGGTGCAACCTGCACCCAGCAAGCAGGCTGAGTGAAGTGAGAAACTTCCTGCCAGGGGCAATGCTGGGAGCTGACGCCCAGGAGCCTTGGGCCCCAGGGAGGCCCTCGGGGGCACTCAGCAGCGCCTGTGAATGGGAGCTGCCGCCTATCTCTCCTCCGTAGCTGGAGCACAGGAGAGCAGCCCAGAAGCTCCGCCTCCACCCACTCAGGTCAGGGGTGTGTCAGAGCCAGGTGGGGCTGCCGCTCTCCCTCAGGCCAAGTACACCTGCGGAGACGCATCTGCCTGGGCCAGGCTGCACAGCGGAGAACCAGCGGTCTGCTTTCAGAAAGCTAATTAGCTCATCACGCACTCAGCACGGGAGAACGTGCCGAGCCTGCTGCTGGCCGCAGAGCTGTGGGCAGGTGACGATTTCTCTGCCTTTCCCCTGCCTCTGAACAGGACACAGGCTGAGCAGTGACCCTGAGGCCACCTGTAGCACCTGCACAAAATGAACAGCGCTCCAGGCCTGCATCGTGGCAATTTCACAACCTTTACATGCAATGGTAATTGTGACAGCTTTGTGTCAGTGTGAAACTCAACATGATTGTAAATGTGGGTGAGAGGGCCAGCGAGGTGGCGTAGTGGGTAAAGCCGCTGCCTGCAATGCCGCATCCCTTATGGGCCCTGGTTTGAGTCCCGGCTGCTCCACTTCCAATCCACCTCCCTGCAGCAGAGGGCGGCCCAAGTACTTGGGCCTCTGCACCCACGTGGGAGACCTGGAAGAAGCTCCTAGCTCCAGCTTGACCCAGACCTGGCCATTGTGGCCATCGGGGA